CTGCAGGAAGGCCTTGACACAGTTCCCCACAAGAGATTAGTGCAGAAGCTGGAGGATCAGGCACACATAAAGAAGGCACTGCAATGGATAAGGGAATACCTGACAGGGAGGCAGCAACGAGTCATGGTACGTGAAGAGGTATCACAGTGGGCGCCTGTTACGAGCGGGTCCCACAGGGGTCAGTTCTAGGACCAGTGCTATTTTGATATATGTGAACGACATGATGGAAGGAATAGACTCTGAAGTGTCCCTGTTCGCAGATGACGTGAGTTGATGAGAAGAATTAAATCGGACGAGGATGAGGCAGGACTGCAAAGAGACCTGGAGCAGGCTGGACATGTGGTCCAGTAACTGGCTCCTCGAATTCAATCCAGCCAAATGCAAAGTCATGAAGATTGGGGAGGGGCAAAGAAGACCGCAGACAGAATATAGCTAGGTGGACAAAGACTACAGACCTCACTCAGGGAGAAAGACCTTGGGGTGACCATAACACCGAGTACATCACCGGAGGCACACATCAACCAAATAACCGCTGCAGCATACGGGCGCCTGGCAAACCTGAGAATAGCGTTCCGATACCTCAATAAGGAATCGTTCAGACACTGTACACTGTGTATGTTAGGCCCATACTGGAGTATGCAGCACCAGTCTGGAACCCACACCTGGTCAAGCACGTCAAGAAGTTAGAGAAAGTACAAAGGTTTGCAACAAGGCTAGTCCCAGAGCTCAAGGAATGTCGTACGAGGAAAGGTTAAGGGAAATCGGACTGACGACACTGGAGGACAGAAGGGTCAGGGGAGACATGATAACAACATACAAGATACTGCGGGGAATAGATAAGGTGGACAGAGATAGGATGTTCCAGAGAGGGGACACAGGGACAAGGGTCACAACTGGAAGCTGAAGACTCAGACGAGTCACAGGGACGTTAGGAAGTATTTCTTCAGTATAGAGTTTTCAGCAAGTGGAATAGCCTAGCAAGTGAAGTAGTGGAGGCAGGAACCATACATAGTTTTAAGAAGAGTATGACAAAGCTCAGAAGCAGAGAGAGAGAGGATCCAGTAGCGATCAGTGAAGAGGCGGGGCCAGGAGCTGAGTCTCGACCCCTGCAACCACAATTAGGTGAGTACAATTAGGTGAGTACACACACACACACACCACACACACACACACACACACACATTATATATATATATATATATATATATATATATATAATATATATATATATATATATATATATATATATATATATATATATATATATATATATATATATAATATATATATATATATATATATACAAATGTATATATATATATGTATGGTTTAGAAAAACACGTAAGCAAACACTTGAACATGTTTATTAGAAAATATTCCATCCCTGGAGGGTGGGGTTGGGGTCGTCCCAAGAAAGAAAGTGGGGTTGGGGTCGTCCCAAGAAATAAAGTGGGGTTGGGGTCGTCCCAAGAAAGAAAGTGAGGTTGGGGTCGTCCCAGGAAGGGATGGAAGGAAGAGGTGAAGGAGGTAATAAATGACAGAAACTTGAGCCATCCACTAGACATGTGTTAGAGTGCTAGATGGTAGTGATTACAGACTTGTGGTTTTTGGAATTCAACTTGGCAGAGTTTAATCAAATTATAACCTATGAAAGAATTCAGGGAAACAGATGAGTTAGACTTCAGGTGGAAAGTAGAGTACTATCACTCTGAAGGAGGAGTACCAGCACTCTAAAGGAGGAGTAACAGCACTCTGAAGGAGGAGTACTAGCACTCTGAAGGACGAGTACCAGCACTCTGAAGGAGGAGTACCAGCACTCTGAAGGAGGAGTACCAGCACTCTGAAGGATGAGTACCAGCACTCTGAAGAAGGAGTACCAGCACTCTGAAGAAGGAGTACCAGCACTCTGAAGGAGGAGTACCAGCACTCTGAAGGAGGAGTACCAGCACTCTGAAGGAGGAGTACCAGCACTCTGAAGGATGAGTACCAGCACTCTGAAGGATGAGTACCAGCACTCTGAAGAAGGAGTACCAGCACTCTGAAGGAGGAGTACCAGCACTCTGAAGGAGGAGTACCAGCACTCTGAAGGAGGAGTACCAGCACTCTGAAGGATGAGTACCAGCATTCTGAAGGATGAGTACCAGCACTCTGAAGAAGGAGTACCAGCACTCTGAAGAAGGAGTACCAGCACTCTGAAGGAGGAGTACCAGCACTCTGAAGGAGGAGTACCAGCACTCTGAAGGAGGAGTACCAGCACTCTGAAGGATGAGTACCAGCACTCTGAAGAAGGAGTACCAGCACTCTGAAGGAGGAGTACCAGCACTCTGAAGGAGGAGTACCAGCACTCTGAAGGAGGAGTACCAGCACTCTGAAGGATGAGTACCAGCACTCTGAAGAAGGAGTACCAGCACTCTGGTACTCCGGAAAATTACGGGATGTTACCCAAGAATGAAGTTCATCGGAAAAGCTATTTAATCTGGCGTCCCATGAATTATGTCCGGTTGAGCTTAATCGAGTAGTTATAGCCGGTTAAGGGAAGACGGAGAGGGTGGAGGGTAGTTGTGTCCGGTTGAGAGTGACGATTATTCCTTTCTCCTCTTTCTGTTATTATTATTATTATTATTATTATTATTATTATTATTATTATTATTATTATTATTAGTATTAGTATTAGAATTAGTATTATTATTTGGGGATGCACTAAACCCGCAGTGTCAGTGTTATCTTTCCTTGCTATGCGTGCATATTAATTTAACGCATTATATATATATATATATATATATATATATATATATATATATATATATATATATATATATATATATATATATATATATATATATATATATATATATATATATATATATATATATATATATATATATGTCGTGCCGAATATGTAAAACTGGTCAATTAGCAAGAACTCATTTAAAATTAAGTCCTTTCTAAAATTTTCTCTTATACGTTTAAAGATATATTTTTTCATTAATGTTGATGTAAAAATTTATAATTTTGCACCAAAAGGAACTTAGAAAACTTACCTAACCTTATTATAACAAGAGCAATTTATTTTAGCCTAACCCAACTAAATATATTTTAGATTTTTTACAATAATTTAATACTAAACAAGCACAGTGAAATATATTTTTTTCGTTAGGTTCAGAATGATTTTGGCGACATTATTGCATACACAAATTTTCACTTGTCCTATATGGCAAGATGAGCGTTGCTATTTAAGCCAAGATGGCAAGTTCTGCCTATTCGGCACGACATATATATATATATATATATATATATATATATATATATATATATATATATATATATATATATATATATATATATATATATATATATATATATATATATATATATATATGCTAGGAATTCGCAAGAACAGGCGAAATATTCACAAACACTGATCTCTGGCCGAAGGAGACCCGAACCTACGAGCCTTAGAACAAGGTACGCAGTGCTTTACCATTCGTATCTGTTGCAACCCCTGAATGGGTTGCAATGATTATTATGTATTTATGTAATTATTATCTTTTCATATAATTTTATACTGCTTATATTTGCGATAATAGCTAAATCGTGAATATATTGACGTAGTTATGTTGTTAGGTAGGATGTTACATATTATGTGCTCAGTTCAAGTCTTGATTGTCTAACTACTGTAATTATCGCTTGTGGCTCGTTAGACTGCCGGCTTCTGTTTCCGAGCTGCAGCTGTCCACGGAGCTATCACGTGATCGAGGGGGAGGTGTCCTCACCTCGCCTGAAGTATTCAGTCTGGTCTAGACTCTCTTGGTGGTTGGACAGATTGTCTGTCTCATTATTCTTGTTAGTTCTGTAGAACTCTTTTCACAGAACATTGTATAGACTTAGTGATTTTCGACGTTGTACTGAGGTTGTGTGTCGCATAGACACTCTGAGCAACTCAGGTCCTGAGCTGTAGCTTCTGACCTAACTTGTACTGGTATCTGTGTACTGTCACAGTCGGGGATTTTCTTATGCTGAACTTAGATTCAGTATTATGGGAGATTTATGACTTTTGTGGAGGATCTGCTGATGGTCCCTACTTAGTGTCGTTATATTATCTCCTTGTTCCTGATTCTGTGTCGCAATTGCTTGTTATATTGCTATTGGGCTTAGCATCCTTTTTATTGTTCAAGCAGACTGTTCTGATTGCCAGTTGGTCAAGAAGTTAGTTAATGTGAGGACTGTCAGTCACTTGTTTAAGTCTAGTCGAGTCGTGAGACATAGCGAACTACTTAGAGCACTTACACACATACACATAATTATTTGTATATTATCTTATTAATGTTAATGTACCAGACGGTACTTAAGACTTATAAATGTGATATGTGCTTTCAGCACAATACTATTGCACACGAGAGAAGTGATTATTATTAACTTGTTTGAATTGATTAATTTAATTTACTTTGATAATATACCTCTAGACGATACTCAATAAATTTATTAAATTTTATTTTCTCTAGTTAGTAACCTACCAATTGTAATCCTAAAGCACTAATAATTCATACTGAATTCTAATGGATAATTGGACAAGGATACTGACTAATTGTTACGAAAACCCAGTAACAGGCTGGATGCTAGAAGGGCAGTCATTTCTAGTATTCACTGGAGATCTCTAAGCTTTTAGAATCGAGTTTTTTTGTAACAGTATCACACTGGACAATACCTTGGCGCCCAGCTCACGCTAGACGTTTTGATCCAAGGCAGCCAGCTTTCAGGCAGGAGGCTTACAGCTTTTCATCTTGTCCCTGGCATGCATCGACCAACTAGAGATTTTAACAATGCTAGTGTTATTCTCACTCTTGTTCCCTACAGTGTTTGTTTCTCACTCTTGTTCCCTACAGTGTTTGTTTCTCACTCTTGTTCCCTACAGTGTTTCTCATATTTTTACCTTACACCATTTCGTTAGGCATTTTCCTCCTCATTGACTATGGTGTCCTCCTTGTTTGCTGCGCCCCCAGGGACGTACAAGGGTCAGTGGCTGCGCGGGTTGAGACACGGGTACGGAGTGCGCACTTCGGCGCAGTTCGGCCAGGCCTCCGTCAGCAGACCTCGCGCCAACAACCGTGGCTCCACCACCTCCCTCCGCTCCGACGGTGCTGGCGACCCACTCGCTGACAGAGACAGAAAGGTAAGGTGAGGTTGGAGCTCTCTCTCTCTCTCTTTCTGTTTTTCTTTTTCTAGCAACCCACAGAGTAGTTACAAGGAGTAGTTACAAGTAGTAGTTACAAGGAGTAGTTAGCACCGCCTTAGCCACACCCGTGATTTTTTTTTTTTTAGCATCTTATTAATTTTACGTCCCCCAGGTTAAAATCCTGACATAATCCTCTAACCTTCCCCAGGTTGAAATCTGACTGTTCTAATGTCTTTATATACCAGAAATTTTGTATTAATACCGAATTTTGCCGTGGAAGCTGATGTGTGTGCTGGTACATAATGTGAGGATGAATGTTCGATGTACTTTTGAGTGTGTGTAGGGGGGGGGGCGACATGGATGTGTGCATGGATGGTGTGTGTACGTACATTAGGATTGGTGTATACAGACGTGGTTGTTGGAGTGTGCGGGTGAGGGCGTGTCACTGACCAGTGGTGGGGCACACAGGTGGATGACGGTCGTGGAGGCTTCGTGCTGCGTGCCCGGAGTGACGAGATACCCAGGAGAAGAGGCAGCCTTGTTGAGCGATCCAGCAACATCAAGAACGTTTTTAAGGTTAGTCTCACCCTTGACTGTCTCTCTCTCTCTCTCTCTCTCTCTCTCTCTCTCTCTCTCTCTCTCTCGCTCTCGCTCTCGCTCTCGCTCTCGCTCTCGCGCTCTCTCTCTCTCCCTCACTACACCGTAACACTTTAATCTTTCCCTACCCTTTCCTCCCAATTCCTCCTCTCCTCCCTCTTTTCTCCCTTGCGCCTTCCACTCTCCTTTCTTTCTCACTTCCTCCCTCTTCCGCCACCAGACTTACTTGTACTCATCTACACACACACACACACACACACACACACACACACACACACACACACACACACACACACACACACACACACACACACACACACACACACACACACACACACAGGCACGCACGCAGTAGCCACCAGTGAAGAGGCGGGGCCAGGAGCTATGAATCGACCCCTGCAACCACAATTAGGTGAGTACACAGTCTCAGTCCACTGACCGACACAATTCACGAGAATGTTAGGTAAAATGAATACAGATGCAACTAATACGACATTTTTATTTTTGCAACGTTTCGCTCAACAGGAGCTTTGTCGCGCTCGACGAAGCTCCTGGCGAGAGAAACGTTGCCTCAGTAAAATGCCACGCTAGTTGCACCTGTGGCCGTTTACCTAACTGTTCTCAAGATATACCTTGATATGCACTCTGATACACGTTGATACATACGCTGATACACGCTGATACATACGCTAATACAAGCTGATACATACGCTGATATATACGCTGATACATACGCTACGCTGATACACGCTGATACATATGATACATACGCTGATAGAAGCTGATACATACGCTGATACATATCCGTGTGTCCTCGTGCCCCCGGGCTCGCTAACTTGCATATATATATAGAACGATGAAGACATAGTATATTATAGTAACGTTTATATTATTTCTTGAAATTATTTTAAATTAGATAATGATCTGAAAAGAAATTAGAAAAATAATTTTGAATTTGTTTAGGTGTAATATTCTATCCAGTGGTCACTGGTAATATTTTATCCAGTGGTTACTGGTAGTATTTTATCCAGTGGTCACTTGTAATATTTTATCCAGTGGTTACTGGTAGTATTTTATCCAGTGGTCACTTGTAATATTTTATCCAGTGGTTACTGGTAGTATTTTATCCAGTGGTCACTTGTAATATTTTATCCAGTGGTTACTGGTAGTATTTTATCCAGTGGTCACTTGTAATATTTTATTCAGTATTCATAGGTAATATTTTATCCAGTGGTCATTGGTAATATTTTATCCAGTGTTCATAGGTAATATTTTATCTAGTGGTCGTTAGTAATATTTTATCCAGTGGTGGAAAAGCTATAAATATTACAAAACTGTGAAGTTAAACTTAATTCTTTGTAATTGGCAATAACCAGGATGTAAACAGCTTAAATTGGTAATTAAGTTTCATCATCTATCTTGTTTCCAGCCGAGTTGCATTGGCTGTAATTAACGCCACTTGCTGTGTTGTATTTTAGAGGAAGATTTGTAGTTGTTACAAATTCAGTAATGCGAAAACTGTGAACCACGCACACACAGGGGTTGAAGATACGACGCCAGCGCAGCACCGGCGACATTCAGACGGGCCGCGCGTCGGGATCCATCCGTTCCACGGGGTCTTCAGCGTCGTGGATGTCGACGGACTCGGGTCAGTCAGCATATACAGTAGGCGACGTACCAGACGAGGGCTCCAATGCTTCATTCATCATCGAGGTAGGGGTGGTACGTGTAGCTCAGTAGTCGCCACTGTAGACGTCCTCTTCACTGGAGCTTCTGCTGCTGCGTCTCTCACACTAGTAACACCAAAAGCTTCTACTTGATAACGTGAACATGATGGGGAAAGCACCATTAATAAAGACTCAGGACTAGTAACATTTGTACAGCGTCTCGTGGTGGCCTCTTCAGCGGTGATCTTTCCAGCTGAACTTGACTCAAGAAATCGTAATGACACGATTGCAACCAACCCATACCCCCGGCCGGGATTGAACCCACGGTCATAGAGTCTCAAAACTCCAGCCCGTCGCGTTAGCCACTAGACCAGCTAGCCACAATAAGATTCATCCAACTAGGTATATTTCTACACCATAGGTAGGTTAGCACAGGCACCACTGTGACCACAAATGCAAGTTTTCACAGACGAATCTCCAGCTAGCGTGGCCGTGACGAACTCTAGCTCAAGTCCCTTCACTGCTAACCTACCTATGGTGTAGAAATATACCTAGTTGGATGAATCTTATTGTGGCTAGCTGGTCTAGTGGCTAACGCGACGGGCTGGAGTTTTGAGACTATGACCGCGGGTTCAATCCCGGCCGGGGGTATGGTTTGGTTTCCAGCTGAAGCCGAATTGCCGAAGCAATTCGTAGCCATCTTGACAGGCGCAGATAGATTAATGAATTTCAACACGGTTTTACAAAGGGGCGTTCCTGTCTTACGAATTTACTAACTTTTTTCACTAAGGTGTTTGAGGAGGTAGATCATGGTAATGAATATGATATTGTGCATATGAACTTCAGTAAGGCTTTCGATAGAGTTCCACACCAGAGGCTATTGAGGAAACTTAAGGCACACGGAATAGGAGAAATTTTTTCCTGGGTAGAGGCATGGCTGACAAATAGACAGCAGAGAGTTTGCATAAATGGGTAGAAATCAGAATGGGGGCACGTCACAAGCGGTGTTCCTCAGGGGTCAGTGTTGGGCCCGTTGTTGTTCACAATTTACATAAACGACATAGATGAGGGAATAAATAGCGACATAAGCAAATTTGTAATAAAGTTGGTAGAATTACCGACAATATGTAAAGTAAAAGGACACAAATGCAACTAATGTGACATTTATTGTGGCAACGTTTCGCTCTCCAGGAGCTTTATCAAGCCATTACAAACAATACATGGACACAGAGGGTATATAAAGGCTCAGAAGAGGCTCAGAGTGAGGTGCACCTCACTCTGAGCCTTTATATACCCTCTGTGTCCATGTATTGTTTGTAATGGCTTGATAAAGCTCCTGGAGAGCGAAACGTTGCCACAATAAATGTCACATTAGTTGCACTTGTGTCCTTTTACTTTACATAAGCAAATTTGCTGATGACACCAAAATAGGCCGTCCAATTCATTCTAATGAGGACACTAGAGGACTCCAGGATGATTTTAATAGACTGATGTAATGGTCGGAGAAGTGGCAGATGCAGTTTAATATTGACAGATGCAAAGTTGTAAATGTTGGACAGGTAAATAACCATGCCACATATAAACTAAATAATGTAGATCTTAATACTACTGATTGCGAAAAGGATTTAGGAGTTCTGGTTAGCAGTAATCTAAAACCAAGACTACAGTGCATTAGTGTTCGCAATAAAGCTAACAGAATTCTTGGCTTCATATCTAGAAGTATAAATAATAGAAGTCTTCAGGTTGTTTTTCAACTCTATATATCCTTGGTTAGGCCTCATTTAGACTATGCTGCTCAGTTCTGGTCACCGTATTACAGAATGGATATAAATGCTCTGGAAAACGTACAGAGGATGACAAAGATGATCCTATGTATCAGAAATCTTCCCTATGAGGATAGACTGAGGGCCCTGAATCTACACTCTCTTGAAAGGCGTAGAATTAAGGGGGATATGATCGAGGTGTATAAATGGAAAACAGGAATAAATAAAGGGGATGTAAATAGCGTGCTGAAAATTTCCAGCCAAGACAGGACTCGCAGCAATGGTTTCAAGTTGGAAAAATTCAGATTCAGAAAGGATATAGGAAAGCACTGGTTTGGTAATAGAGTTGTGGATGAGTGGAACAAACTCCCGAGTACAGTTATTCAGGCTAAAACGTTGTGTAGTTTTAAAAATAGGTTAGATAAATACATGAGTGGGTGTAGGTGGGTGTGAGTTGGACTTGACTAGCTTGTGCTGCTGGGTCTGGTGCAGTGCTCCATCCTTGAGTGGAGATGATCAGACTGGGTGGGTCATTGGGCTAATCCGGGAGGGGGGGTATTGGCCTAAGCCGGGGAGGGGACATGGACCTGCTCCGCATGGGCCAGTAGGCCTGTTGCAGTGTTCCTTCTTTCTTATGTTCAAGTACCGTGGCAAACTGTTGCTGACTCTAGCTCTTTGTTAGTGGAGATTTTCCCGTCAGAGCTGTTACTGTGTATGGTGCTGCTACTAACTTCACTCGCTGTTTCTCGTCCTAAATGTATGCGCTATTTCTTATTTTCTGCCAGTGTGAGCCAAGCAGGCATCGTCAACAAAAAAAAAAAAAAAAAGCCTGCTAAGCTACCAATGACTGGACACCTGGCAGAAAGTAAATCCTGGCAGGTAGCACTGAAGAAAGGGTCACCGTATAGTGATGAGACTCAGTGCTCCTTGCCTCACCATTTGCTCCAGCATGGCATTAGTAGTACACCTCAGATGTGTTGCTGCCTGCTGCTTCTCTTACTCGCCTTCAAGCTTCTAACACCGACATTGATGCCATGTATAAAAATTAGTTATACTATTTTTGTCGTGCGGAGTAATAGTATATTTCGACAGATTATTATTTTGCAAAATGTAGTCTTGGTATTTTATTGTTTCAGTAAATCCTACTTGAGAAGAGCTTTTATTATCAGTAATGTCTCTCGTCTCTGCAGTTTTTATCTGTGGTTTTGCATATCTGTATACATACAGTTTCAAATTTAGATATTTAGTAAATTGATAACTGTGATCGTAGGTTTAATTCAATAATGTGATTGTTGCATTTTACAGTTCAACGGAGTTTAAGAGAAACACGAGATGAAAGAAAAATAAAAGTGGTTCCAAATGTCGGATAATTTCCATTTCGTTATAAATGATTGAAGTTCATTCATCAGAGAACATAGTGTCTCCTGACACAGTGTCAGGAGATACTGTGTCAGGAAACAGTGTGTCAGGAGACAATGTGTTAGGAGACAATGTATTCTCTGATACTTTATTCGGGTTCGATTTACTGATGATCTTATAAAGTGATATAGTGGCTTTATAAAACAGTTGCATTAAAAACACAATATTATAGACAAAAAACAATGACTTGTGAAGACTCACCACTAAAAAAAATGGATCAGTCATTGATAATAATCGGGTCGAACATTAATTTACAGAGGTTATATCTTCTCGGCAAAGCTCTACATCTCAGAGTAAAACGTGGAGTGTAAACACAGGTCTACTCTTCGCATATACCATGTACGTGGCGGGTGTTGCCATCCAACAAGACTAACACTGAGGAGTCTTTTGTGAACATGTATTATGAAGAGGTCGTGAATATTGTTGCTTTTAATTGATTCACAATGCTCTGATGTTCACTGTGCGTTGTGGCGTCTTAAGAATACGTTGCATCCACTGCCAAAATAAAATCTGGGTATTATCTTGCGGCTCTTACAAGCACTGCAGTAAAATTCTCAGACTAAAAGTTGAGCATAAATGATTTTCACTTTCAAAAAGAATTTAAATACTGTCGTTGAGCTGAGTATCATTAGAGAGAGAGAGAGAGAGAGAGAGAGAGAGAGAGAGAGAGAGAGAGAGAGAGAGAGAGAGAGAGAGAGAGATACAAGCCATCATAAGCTAGGATATAAGGGCGAGTAGACAGACAGGCCAGTATATAAGGATGTGTAGAATGACAGGACAGTTATGATATAAAACTGTGTGGAATAAGCCAGGATATAAGGGTGTGTATGATTCTTTATTACCGAGTCAACACATGACCTTAATAACCTTAGAATGATGAAAAATAGAGACATGTGCAACATCTGCGTATCTTTATTTTAGACGTTTGGCCATCAAGTGACTTTATCATCTGGTCGGTATTGTATACCATTCATGTAGATCTCTTAGAATGTTTGGCACAGGTCAGCACTTATGACCTGATAAGTTCATCTGGTCACAAAGAATTGATTATTTTCCATCAGAGGTAAAATTCAGCTTAAAAAATGTAAATAAAGTCGATAATTTAAACAAAATCCTTAAAAATATAATAAATTAGTACAACTTTTGGTTCAAAATCTGCCTGTGGAACAGTGAGAATCAATAACAATAATGGAACTTGAACAATATAGATCTTGATTACTCTGCGATTTTTGTAATTCAGTAATAACTACACTGACTCATGTTCCCATGTCAGGCAAAGAGAAATACGGAATAATTAACTGAACATCATGGAATAACTTTAAAACTGGCTTAAGTTTAACAGAGTATTCCGAAGTATTGATAATAATAATAATAATAATAATAATAATAATAATAAAAATAATAATAATAATAATAATAATAATAATAATAATAATAATAATAATAATAACAATAATAATAATAATAATAATAATAATAATAATAATAATAATAATAATAATAATAATAATAATAATAATATACCGAAATAACAGTCTAGAGAAACATCATTTTCCTGATTTTTCTTGAATTATCCTGAGTCGTCTCATGAGTAGGGTGAAAGAGTTTGTGCTCGGCGTCACATTTAGAGCGCAAGTGGTAAAAACATTACACAAATACGAAATAAAGCAAGAGTTATTATTACTCGCCACTGCCGACACTTCTTTCCACTGTTGGAAGGCAAGACAGAGAGTATTATCCTTCATCTGTCTGTGTGTTGTGTGATATTGGTGGCGTGGCGCTGAAGGACACATCTGTTTTCCGGTACAGAGCCTGCAACTGGACACATGCGGAGGGTTCACAGTTGTGTACGGTGATGGCAGTGACAAACAACACTCTGGCTCGTGTGTAGTGTAAGATCATCGTGAAGTAACTCGTGTCTGTTCCATACACTGGTTTCTAGTTCATTAACTTCGTTATAATTTTCAAAACAGAGACAAGAATACATAAATAACCCGCACAAGTCGGACCGAAACGTTGTCGTAAGCTCCTCTATCTTACGTGTGGGATATTTGTATATTGTTCCAGTCACGGTATTGTGACTTTTTGTTCTTCAGAGACAAGAATACAGTCTTTAATAATGGAGTTTGGCTGTGTTAATATTAAATTCACTGGTTATTGGCTTTGATTTTGCCATATTTAAGGGGAAGAAATGACACCCCTGCATAGACTCGTCCGCCCCTGACCCTCTTTAACCCCTCAGAGGGACGACTCTCATCACGTCTAAACACAAAATATCCCACTGTGCATGTTACTGAAGCAGGGTGTGGGGATAAAGACACCTGGTAGAAGAGAATGTTTTTAACAAGAGGTACTCCGAGACTGAGCTTTATCAAGTACTGATAAAATATAGCCTTGGGTGAAACATTGTATAAAAAATAATGGATTCTCCGCTACCAGTGTCTTTATCCCCACTTGTCAGGTTTTGTCACTATCAGCACACCGGCCGTGTTGAAGGTAAAACGATCGTCCTACATAACAGAAGGATCAGATACTAATTCTGTAACATTGATCATTTAAAAGAGGATTACGAAGTATATCAAATCATGAACGCGGTATGCATTTGTTATTTTCAAAAATCTGAATTATCTGAACCACTTGGAAGGTAAAAAACAACTAAGAAACCTGTACATTTCGGTTTCAGACACTCAGTGTCACGTGTCTCATTCCAAATATAAAAACATTTTTTTAACACACCGGCCGTCTCCCTCCGAGGCAGGGTGACCTGAAAAATAAAAACTTTCACAGTCATTCATTCAATCACTGTCTTGCCAGAAGCCTGCTGTGACGTCTCAGTTCAGATGACCCTCTGAACCGCAACATTCCCACCCGGTCTTCATAGTGCAAGCACTATACATCTCACTACCAGGACTCAAGTTCGGCTAACCGGTTTCCCTGCAACCATTCATAAATGTTACCTTGCTCGCACTCCAACAGCACGTTACGGTGTGACATTACTGTCACACCATGTTGGACCAAACACTTGATCATGGTAGTCGTTGCACGTAGTATTCCCAACGTTCAAAAACTGGCTACATCCCAGTAATGCATCCCCCACAGTGCAACAGTTAGGTAGACAGTGACACAGTGTAACAGTCATGTAAATATTGACAGTGTAACAGTCAGGTAAACATCCACACACTGTAACAGTCAGATAGACAATGACAGTGCAACACACAGTGTAACAGTCAGGTAGACAGTGACCCAGTTTAATACTCAGGTAGACAGTGACATACACTAACAGACAGTGACACAGTGTAACAGTCAGGTAGACAGTGACACAGTGTAACAGCCAGGTAGACAGTGACACGGTGTAGAAGTCAGGTAGACAGTGGCACAGTGTAACAGTCCAGTAGGCATCCACACAGTGTAACAGTCTGGTAGACAGTGTAACAATCAGGTAGACAGTATAACAGCCTGATAGACAGCGTAACAGTCTGGTAGACAGTGTAACAGTCAGGTAGATAGTGTAAGAGTCAGATAGACATCCACAGAGTGTAATAGTCAGGTAGACAGTGGTAAGAAACCAGACGACAAGTCGACACAGACACTGGGACAGAATGTGCGAAACGTTACATTAAAATAATTTTTTCCTGCCAGTGTTGTTAGTTCCATAAGGAGTCAGACATAAAGACCTTGAGCGAAACTTCGCAATAAAGAAATTCTCTGTTACCAATATTTTTATTTCCACAAGGAATTAATAAGTACGTATTTGTAGTTAAGGTAAATGGCCACTTAAATATTTGTAAAGACAAATGGCCACTTAAACTGGCAAATGGCCACTTTAAGTGGCAATTTCCCTTAATTTTTTTAATTTTTTAAAAGATTTTTTTTCTTAAAATATTTTTCCCTTAAAAACCACATTTAAAGCTCTTCCTTAAAAGCCTTTTTTGTTAGTCTTTTATTTAACAATAACTTTTCCTTAAAACCATTAAAGTTCTTGAGCCATTTAAAAACCATTACTTGAAAGCCATTTTTCATGCTTTTGACTTTTCATAAAAGATATAATTAAAGCCCTTTCTAAAAGCCTTTTCATATATAGTCCTCTTTTTAAAAACTATTTTTCCTGAAAACCATTAAAGTTTTTAATGTATATGGAAAAATTCTGTCAACGCCATTTTTTCCTAAAGCCGTTTCTTGAAGATTTTTAAACCGGTTTTTAAAACCAAATATAAAAGCCCTTTCTTAAAGCTTTTTTAAACTTCTACAAAAAAGGTCTCTCATGAAAGTCATTTTACCTAAATAATCTCACTTCAGTTTTTTAAAAGCCCTTAAAATGCCCTTAAAAATGCCTTTAAATCTTTCCTAAAATCACTATTGCTCAACCATTTACTGTTAACAGTGCAGTGAGTGTTGCTGACAGTGTAGTGAGTGTTGTTGATAGTGTTGTGAGTGTTGCTGACAGTGCAGTGAGTGTTGTTGATAGTGTAGTGAGTGTTGAGAGTGTAGTGAGTGTTTATAGTGCAGTGAGTGTTGCTGAAAGTGTAGTGAGTGTTGCTGATAGTGTAGTGAGTGTTGTTGATAGTGTAGTGAGTGTTGTTGATAGTGTTGTGAGTGTTGTTGATAGTGTTGTGAGTGTTGATGACAGTGCACTGAGTGTTGCTGAGAGTGTAGTGAGTGTTGCTGATAGTGTAGTGAGTGTTGTTGATAGTGTAGTGAGTGTTGTTGATAGTGTTGTGAGTGTTGATGACAGTGCAGTGAGTGTTGCTGAGAGTGTAGTGAGTGTTGCTGATAGTGTAGTGAGTGTTGTTGATAGTGTAGTGAGTGTTGAGAGTGTAGTGAGTGTTGCTGATAGTGTAGTGAGTGTTGCTGATAGTGTAGTGAGTGTTGAGAGTGTAGTGAGTGTTTATAGTGCAGTGAGTGTTGCTGAGAGTGTAGTGAGTGTTGCTGATAGTGTAGTGAGTGTTGTTGATAGTGTAGTGAGTGTTGAGAGTGTAGTGAGTGTTTATAGTGCAGTGAGTGTTGCTGAGAGTGTAGTGAGTGTTGCTGATAGTGTAGTGAGTGTTGTTGATAGTGTAGTGAGTGTTGTTGAGAGTGTAGTGAGTGTTGAGAGTGTAGTGAGTGTTTATAGTGCAGTGAGTGTTGTTGATAGTGTTGTGAGTGTTGATGACAGTGCAGTGAGTGTTGCTGAGAGTGTAGTGAGTGTTGCTGATAGTGTAGTGAGTGTTGCTGATAGTGTAGTGAGTGTTGTTGAGAGTGTAGTGAGTGTTGAGAGTGTAGTGAGTGTTGAGAGTGTAGTGAGTGTTGAGAGTGTAGTGAGTGTTTATAGTGCAGTGAGTGTTGTTGATAGTGTTGTGAGTGTTGATGACAGTGCAGTGAGTGTTGCTGAGAGTGTAGTGAGTGTTGATGACAGTGCAGTGAGTGTTGTTGAGAGTGTAGTGAGTGTTGAGAGTGTAGTGAATGTTGTTAATACTGTAGTGAGTGTTGTTGATAGTGTAGCGAGTGTTGTTGATAGTGCAGTGAGTATTGTTGAGAGTGTACTGAGTAAGTATTGTGGTCCCCAGGACGAGCAGCTGGACGCCAGTGTACTGGAGAACTACACAGGAGAGTGGAAGAACGACAAACGTACAGGGTTTGGCGTGGCTGAACGTACGGACGGTCTCAAGTACGAGGGAGAATGGTACAACAACAAGAAGTACGGTTATGGCGTCACCACCTTCAAGGTAAACACCTTCAGAGTAAATATACATCTTCATGGTAAATAAATGTGTCTATTATCTTCAAGGTAAATATGTATCTGTCATCTTCAAAGTAAATAAATATGTCTATCAAGGTAAATATGTGTACCATCAAGGTAAATATGTGTACCATCAAGGTAAATATGTGTACCATCAAGGTAAATATATGTGTATCATCTTCTAGTGAACATGTTCACCATCTTCAAGGTAAATCATCGGTCCTCTAGGTTTCTGCATGGTCATCCTGAGTCATCCCGGGTCATCCCAGGTCATCCTAGGTCATCCAGGGTCATCCAGGGTTATCCCAGGTCATCCCAGGTCATCCAGGGTCATCCAGGTTCATCCAGGGTCATCCCAAGTCATCCCAGGTTATCAAGGGTCATCCAGGGTCATCTTAAGTCATCCAGGTTCATCCAGGGTCATCCCAAGTCATCCCAGGTTATCAAGGGTCATCCAGGGTCATCTCAAGTCATCCAGGGTCATCCCAAGTCATCCCAGGTTATCAAGGGTCATCTCAAGTCATCCAGGGTCATTCCAGGTCATCCAGGGAAACAGAAAAACGAAAATATATTAGAGAAATATAGAAAGCAAGATATATTAGTGACAGGAAACAGAACCGAGAATCAAAATGTAAACACAAAATAAAATGGCGGCACACTGCTAAAAAAAAAGTCAAGAGGGGATCAGGAAAAATAAAAAAAACAAAGTTGAAATAACTCCATTGAAACTGTTGAAGAGAAAACTTTCTGTCAACTTGGTCAACTTTGTCAACTTGGTCAACTTTGTCAACTTGGTCAACTTGGTCAACTTTGTCAACTTGGTCAACTTTGTCAACTTGATCAATTTGGTCAACTTGATCAATTTGGTCAACTTGGCTACCCGTATCAGTTTTGAAAAAAAAGTCTTCAAAGTTTTGATTTAGAGGACATCAACTTGGTGTGTGAAGAGCTGGTTTAGAATGTTATTCATCACAGCTGGTTGTGACGTCATCACAGATGGTATTCACGTCATCACAGTTGGTTGTCACATCACAGCTGGTTGTCACAGAACATCTGGTTGTCATATCATCACACCTGGATGTCACGCCATCAGAGTTAGTTGTCACATCATAGTTGGTAGTCACGTCATCACAGCTGGTAGTCATGTCATCACAGCTGGTAGTCACGTCATCACAGTTGGTAGTCACGTCATCACAGCTGGTAGTCACGTCATCACAGCTGGTAGTCATGTCATCACAGCTGGTAGTCATGTCATCACAGCTGGTAGTCACGTCATCACAGTTGGTAGTCACGTCATCACAGCTGGTAGTCACGTCATCACAGCTGGTAGTCGCGTCATCACAGCTGGTAGTCACGTCATCACAGCTGGTAGTCGCGTCATCACAGCTGGTAGTCACGTCATCACAGCTGGTAGTCGCGTCATCACAGCTGGTAGTCACGTCATCACAGCTGGTAGTCACGTCATCACAGCTGGTAGTCGCGTCATCACAGCTGGTAGTCACGTCATCACAGCTGGTAGTCATGTCATCACAGCTGGTAGTCGCGTCATCACAGCTGGTAGTCGCGTCATCACAGCTGGTAGTCGCATCAACACAGCTGGTAGTCGCGTCATCACAGCTGGTAGTCACGTCATCACAGCTGGTAGTCATGTCATCACAGCTGGTAGTCACGTCATCACAGCTGGTAGTCACGTCATCACAGCTGGTAGTCGCGTCATCACAGCTGGTAGTCGCGTCATCACAGCTGGTAGTCGCGTCATCACAGCTGGTAGTCGCGTCATCACAGCTGGTAGTCGCGTCATCACAGCTGGTAGTCGCGTCATCACAGCTGGTAGTCATGTCATCACAGCTGGTAGTCATGTCATCACAGCTGGTAGTCATGTCATCACAGCTGGTAGTCACGTCATCATAGCTGGTAGTCATGTCATCACAGCTGGTAGTCATGTCATCACAACTGGTAGTCATGTCATCACAGCTGGTAGTCACGTCATCACAGCTGGTAGTCATGTCATCACAGCTAGTAGTCATGCCATCACAGCTGGTAGTCATGTCATCACAGCTGGTAGTCATGTCATCACAGCTGGTAGTCATGTCATCACAGCTGGTAGTCATGCCATCACAGCTGGTAGTCATGTCATCACAGCTGGTAGTCACGTCAATGTGTAATGGAAAATTTATGAAGGGGCAATAACCCATCCAGGAAATGCTCTTCACCGTGGGCAGGGCATGTGCCCACAATAAGCAGGGCATATGCCCACCCTGGGCAGGGCATGTGCTCACCGCGGGCAGGGCATGTGCTCACCGCGGGCAGGGCATGTGCCACCCTAGGCAGGGCATGTGCCCACCGTGCGCAGGGCATGTGCCCACCGTGGGCAGGGCATGTGCCCACCCTAGGCAGGTCATGTGCCCACCCTAGGCAGGGCATGTGCCACCCTAGGCAGGGCATGTGCCCACCCTAGGCCGGGCATTTGCCCACCGTGGGCAAACAGGTGGCCCATTCAGGAATTTGGTTCTAAATCCGTCTCGTGTTGGATGAGATCCAAAGTCCAAGTCAGTAGTCAGCTATGTTAGGAGGTATGTTGGTGTGTATATGCTATGTTAGGAGGTATGTTGGTGTGTATATGCTATGTTAGGAGGTATGCTGGTGTGTATATGCTATGTTAGGAGGTATGATGGTGTGCAAATATCTGCGTGTATACAAAAGCAGGTGTATATATAGATATGAACATTAAAATGGTATAAAATACCGACAGGTTGTTAGGTAAGACACATGTGCAACAGTTAGGTATCTTTATTTCGAAATGTTTCGCCTACACAGTGTTGCACATGTGTCTTACCTAACAACATATATAGATATACATACACCTCTCGGTATATATATATATATATATATATATATATATATATATATATATATATATATATATATATATATATATATATATATATAATATACTGAGAGGTGTGTGCGTGTAGTCATCTGTTTGTGGTTGCTGGGGTCGAGTGCCAGCTCCTGGCCTCGCCTCTTCGCTAGTCGCTACTAGGTCCACTCTCTCGCTGCTCCATGAGCTTTTTCGTATCTCTGCTTAAAACTATTTATGGATCCTGCCTCCACTACATCACTCTCCAGATTGTTCCACTTCCTGATAACTCTATGGCTGAAGAACTACTTCATAACATCCCTGTGTCTCATTTGAGTCTTAACTTCCAATTGTGTCCCCTTTGTTGCTGTGTCCCATCTCTGAAATATCCTGTCCCTATCCTCCTTGTCAATTCATCTAAGTATTTTTTACGTCGTTATCATGTCTTCCTTATCTCTTTTGTCATCCAGTGTTGTCTGGTCGATTTCCCTTAACCTCTCCTCGTAGGACATACCCCTTAGCTCCTGGACTAGTCTTGTTGTAAACTTTCGCACTTTCTCTAATTTCTTGACGTGCTTGGCGACCAGGTATGCGTTCCATACTGGTGCTGCATACTGCAGTATGGGCCTGACGTACACATTGTACAGTATCTTTTATATACCTTTGAAGAATTTCGAGAGTATATATACTCTCTGAGCCCGGCCATGGGCCAGGTTCTTCTGGTGCTCGCCTGGCCAACCAGGCTGTTGCTGCTGGAGGCCCGCTGCCCCACATATCCATTAGAGCCTGGTTGATCTGGCACCTGGTGGAGATACTTGTCTAGTTTCCTCTTGAAGGCTTCAACACTTATTCCAGCAGTGTTTCTAATATCTTCTGGTAAGATATTGAAAAGTCTGGGACCCCGGATGTTGATACAGTGTTCCCTTATTGTCCCCACCGCACCCCTGCTCCTTACCGGGTTTATTTTACACTTCCTCCCATATCTCTCACTCCAGTATGTTGTTATGGCAGTGTGCAGATTTGGGACCAAGCCCTCGAGTACCTTCCAGGTATATATTATCATGTACCTCTCTCTCATCCGCTCCAATGAGTACATGTTCAAGACTTGCAGGCGTTCCCAGTAGTTTAGGTGCTTTACTGGCTCAGTGTTAGCCGTAAACGATCTCTGTATTTGTTCCAGCTCCGATATTTCTCCTGCCCTGAACGGGGCCGTCAGTACTGAGCAATATTCTAAGTGAGGGAGCACTAGCGATTTGAAGAGTGTCACCATCGGCATTGTTTCCCTTGTTTTGAAAGTTCTCAATACCCACCCCGTCATCTTCCTGGCTGTCGTGATCTTTGTCTTGTTATGGTCTTTACAAGAAAGGTCCGCTGACATAATTATTCCTAGGTCTTTTACGTGTTCCTTACGTTCTATTTGGTGACCCTCTTGAGGTTTTATATATAGTGCTCCTTTTGAGTTCTTCATTCTTTCCATACCTAAGCAGCTGGAACTTATCACCACTGAACGTCATGTTGTTTTCCACTGCCCACTGGAAAACCCTGTTTATGTCTTCCTGTACTTTTTCAGTGTCCTCTACCGTACTGACTTTCATGCTTATTTTAGTGTCATCTGCAAATGATGATACAAAAGTGTGCCGGGTGTTTTTGTCTATGTCTGCGGTGAAGATGAGGAACAGCAGAGGTGCGAGGACAGTGCCTTGGGGCACTGAGCTTTTGACCTCGCTGATGCTGGATCTTGCCCTGTTCACTACTACTTTTTGTGTTCTGTGTGTTAGGAAACCGAAAATCCATCTGCCTCCCTTCCCCATAATGCTCATGACCTTCATTTTGTGCGCTATCACTCCATGATCGCATTTGCCAAACGCCTTTGCAAAATCTGTGTAAATCACATCTGCGTTTTGGTCGTCTTCCAGTGCCTCCGTAATTCTGCCATAATGGTTCAGCAGCTGTGACAGACATGATCTTCCTGCTCTAAAACCATGCTGGTTCGGGTTATGTTGGTTGTGCTGGTCCATGAAATTTGTAACCTGCCGTCTCATCACTCTTTCGAAGATTTTTATGATGTGAGAGGATAGGGTTAGTGTCTTGAATGGCTCCTTACACAAATGTCGAAACGCTATTCTTAGGTTTGCCAGGCGCCCATATGCTGCAGCAGTTAGTTTATGTGCGCTTCAGGAGATGTGCTCGGTATTATACTCACCCCAAGATCCTTTTTCCTTGAGTGTGGTTTGCAGTCTTTGGTCCCCCTAGCCTATACTGTCTGCAGTCTTTTTTGACCTTCCCCAATCTTTAGGACTTTGCACTTGGTGGGAATTAACTCCAGGAGCCAGTTGTTGGACAGACTGTCCAGATCCTTTTGTAGTTCTACCTGATTCTCATCAAACTGAATTCTCCGCATTAGCTTCGCGTCGTCTGCAAACAGAGACACCTCTGAATCTATCCCTTCCGTCATGTCATTCACATATACCAGAGCAGTACCGACTCTAGGATTGACCCTTGTGGAACTCCAATTGTCACAGGTGCTCATGCTGACACCTCGTCACATACAATCACTCGTTGTTTCCTTCCTGTCATGTATTCTTTGATCCATTGCAGTGTCTTTCCTGTTATTCCTACCTGCTCATCTAGCTTTTGCACTAATCTCTTGTGTGGAACTGTGTCGAAAACCTTACAGTTCAAGAAAATGCAGTCTATCCACCCCCTTCCCTCTCTCTATCTCCCCCTTGCCTTACTTCTGTCACCTTGTCTTAAAACTCCAGTAGATTTGTGACACAGGATATCCCCTTCCATAAACCGTACTGGTTATAGTTGGAACACCTTCCTAGGTGCTCCACCAGTCTTTTTCTGATAAGCTTTCCCCTGATTTTGCATACCATACATGTCAGAGACACAAGTCTGTAGTTTAATGTTACCTGCCTGTCTTCTTCCTTAAAGATTTTGACTATGTTTGCTGTCTTCCACACCTCAGGTAGTTGCCCTATTTAGATGGAGGTGTTGAAGATTGTTGTTAGTGGCACACACACACAGTGCCTATTCTCCCTCTCTCAGGACCCACGGAGAGATGTTGTCTGGCTCCACCGCCTTTGAGGTATAAAGTTCACTAAGCAGCCTCTTTACTTCCTCCTCGGTTGTGTGTAGTGTGTCCAGCACTTGCTGGTGTACCCTGCCATTCCGGTTTACTGTAGTCCAGTCTGTCTCCACTGAAGATACTACCTCAAATCTCGTGTTTAGCATTTCACATACTTCTTTGTTGTTTCTTGTGATCTTCCGTCCTTCCTTCCTCAGCCTGTTTACCTGGTCCTTGACTGTTCTTCTCCTGATGTGGCTGCACAACAGCTTTGGGTCAAATCTGGCTTTTGATGCTATGTCATTCTCATATTGCCGCTGGGCCTCCCCTCCTTATCCATACATATTCATTTCTGGCTCTTCGGCTAATCTCCTTATTTACCTGGGTTCTTTGTCTTCTATATTTTTTTTCATTCTCTATCGCACTTAGGTATGGCCTCGCTACATCTTTGGACGAACCAAGGACTCCTTCTGGTCTTCCCATTGATTCTGTTTTCCTTAGGTACGAACCTCTCCTCCACCTCTTTGCATTTTGTGATCACGTATTCCTTCATTTCATTCACTTCATTCCAGCAAATTCTTTCTCCCACTGTACCTCGTGCAGGAAATTTCCCATACCTTTGTAGCCCCCTCTTTTATAGTTTGCCTTCTCCCATCCTACTCATGCTGCTTCCTTCACTACTTTTAGCTCTACAATGTATTTGAAGCTTATGATTACGTGATCACTAGCTCCGAGGAGCCTTTCATATGTGATGTCCTCAGCGTCTGGCCTACTGAAGGTAAATATAAGGTCCAGTATTGCTGGTTCATTCCTTCCTCTCTCTCTGGTAGTGTCTCTAACATGTTGATGCATGAGGTTTTCCAGTACCACCTCCATCATCTTGCCCCTCCACGTTTTCTGAGCCCCGGTGTCGCTCCAGGTTTTCCCAGTCAATCTCCTTGTGATTGAAATCACCCACAACTAGTAACTTTGCCCTTCCCATGTTGGCCCTTATGGCAACCTCAGCTAGTGTATCATCCATTGCTCTGTTCTCATCGTACTCTTGTCTTGGCCTCCTGCTATTATGAAAGGCCGCTGTGTAGATGGGGTTTGTGCTGGGGAGTGGGGTTTGTGAGTGTGGAGTGTGGTTGGATTTGCGTTAATTTGTTTGGTTGGAGTGTTTTGTGGGTGGTTCTTTCGGTGGATGTATTTGCTGGCCCTCCCAACTCTGGGTGTTCCTGCCTGTCTTTAGCCTTGTCTCTTTTTCTTGCTCCTTGTGTCTTTGCATCCTATCAATTTCTGTCGTTCTCTACGCATTCTGTTGCGGTCGTGCGCGCGTGTGTACTCACCTAATTGTGGTTGCAGGGGTCGAGTGTGTGTGTGTGTGTGTGTACTCACCTAATTGTGGTTGCAGGGGTCAATCATAGCTCCTGGCCCCGCCTCTTCATTGGTCGCTACTAGGTCCACTCTCTCCCTGCTCCGTATCCTTATCATACCTCTTCTTAAAGCTATGTATGGATCCTGCCTCCACTACAACACTCTCCAGATTGTTCCACTTCCTGACAACTCTATGGCTAGAGAAATACTTCCTAACTTCCCTGTGATTCATCTGAGTTTTCAACTTCCAACTTTCAACTTCTAATTTCTTGATGCGCTTGTCCAGGTGTGGGTTCCACACACACACTGTTTGTGTGTGTATGTGTGTATACACCTAGGGGTGTATAACTCAGTATATATACTCTGATATACTCGCTGTTTTAAGTTAATATTAAAACAATCATCAATGGTAGTAAACAGGTGACGTAACGCGGTCTTACTGACACTAGTCTAGTAGATAGTCTAGTAGATAGGTTTTAAACTATATAAATCAACCCTTATCAATGTGGAATCTGAAACTACAATACATTAACGGGTCAAATTTTAGCTGACATTATCTTCGAGGGGAAGCGTAAAACCCGTAGGAGTCTTATAGTACACCTCAACCTTCCTTCTCTCTCTCTTCCTATCTACTTTCACCCTTTCTGTCTTCCCTCTTCCTGTCTATCCTCTGCCGTTTCTTACTTCTTCCTGTCTATTCACAACCTTTTCCAATTTCTATCTCCTTTCCTCCTTTTAAGGGATTCTGGTAGAGGGCTCTTGATCCAAGAAATTGAGTCTATTCTCTTAGTAGCGTCATAAAGGAGAGGACTTTCGAAAGCTGTAAAAATGTAGGTTGGAGAGGTACATGAGTGGGCGTGGGTGGGCAGCCTTGTTTGATCAACAAGATACATTTACAACACTTGGATATCGCCGAGAAGTTTCCCCTGTACAACGGTCCTCTTCGGTTGATTATGGGAGATTATGATGCTGGAGACAGTAGTAATAGAAACTGAGGTAATCAGTCCCCTCAGCCTTGGTAGGTCATGGTTTCTCCCTCAGGCGTAAGAAACTACCACTTTCTACTATTTCTAGTTTAAAATTCACCTGTATTCGACTGAAGAAGCCTTTTTTCAACAGGCGAAACGTTTTGTCATTAAGATATCCAAGCAAGTAAGTAAGTAAGTTTATTCAAGTGTACACAAATACAGTTACATAGATTATCATACTTAGCAGCACATGTGTAGAGAACCTGGGATAACCCCAAAACGTCAGACAGAGTGACTTATTTGCTACACATGCTGATCAGCTTGTAGGTATTATCAACAGTAGGAGGCGTCTGGTATGGCCCAAGAGGTCTACCACAGTGCTCCACTCTTCTTAAAGTAACCATTACCACC